CGACAGCGGGCCCTGCGCACTGGCCCACGTGACGTGAGTGTGGCGGGCCTCCCAGGAGTCACGCAAGCCCATCCAGGCCCGCTGCAGTCGGGAGAGCGTCACCCGCCCATCCCACACCCACGCCGCGTACTGCCCCACGATGCTGAAGGTAGCGTGGAATATGGGGTCGAAGCTCCACTGCTGCGCGGCCAGGTACAGCGTCAGGGAGCCCGACCCCTTGTAGCCACAGAAGACGCGAGCCATGGTCCTCATCTGCTGCAGCTCCGTGTCGCTGATGCCGCTGACCGTGGCTCCGTGTCCCACGGATGGCAGCACGCCCGTGGCCCAGAGCCGAGCCGCCCGCTGTCGTCCTGCTCCCTTCTGCAATGCTCGAACGCTGGCCTTCTTGCCGTGCATGGCCTTCAGGCGCACCTTCTGCACGGCCCTTGTGGCCGACGACCCAGCTAGGTCGTGGCCAAGATACCGCATGTGCCTCCTGCCAGCGATCTTCAGCAGCCTAGCGTACTTCTGAAAGTGGTAGCTGGTGCGCCTGGACGTCGTAAGGTGCCCAGACTTATCCATCTGCAGCACCAGCCCGAGGGGCCGGACAGCCCTGCAGAAAGCACGAGTGGCAATGGCAATTTCTCGCACCCCGCTCGGGTCGTTGCCGACCCAGCACAGCGCGACGTCGTCCACCAAGTCCTTGGGCTGAACCTGAGGAGCGACCGACTTCGTCTGGCGAATGCTGCGAGTCAACAACACCATGAGAAGCGTAGTGGCGTGGGTGCAGCCTGCCAGGATGCCCTGATACGCCCTGCGCGCCACTGAATACGAAGAATACGAGTACACCGAACGCAGCTGCTGGTACATCTGCACGAGCATGAACGCCATTCGCATAGGGTATCCATTGGCCCTGCACTCCAACAAAATGGCATCATGCCTGACCAGCTCGTAGCATTTGAGCATGTCCAGCAGCACAATGATGGCTTCGTCATCGCACAGGGTCGCCATCTCCTTGGTGAGCGCCAAATCAAAGGCCGCATCACTCGACGACTTGCCTCCAGTGTGGCCCCAGACCTCTGGGAGCGCATGGGCCTTCTCCCACGCTGCCGAGACAGGCCGCCTCGCCCGTCCCCAGATCCTGACCAGCGTGTTCATCAGCACAATCAGGCGCTCCCCACCCCCTGGCGTGGGGAGTCTCACGAGCTTCGAGAGGAATCTGCCGTCTGGCCACAGCAGGAGGTGCTCGCACCGCTCGAAGAGGCGCGCCATGGCCGTCAGCGCCCCGTGGGAGAGGTGCTCCATGGCCCTAGGCGCGATGTTGATCTGCCCGACGCCTGTCTGCCATGAGAAACAACGGATTGCCTTGAGTACGTCGGCCGCCTCAAGCCTTGGCAGCTGCTCCCAAGTGTCAGCATCAACAGGTCGGCGAGCCAGCTCACCGCCATGCCGCACCCAGAAGCTTTCCCAGTATTCAAGCTTACGATCAGCCAGTACGTACCCATGTTGTAGCCCATTGCCTCCGTCCACGATCTCCTGGAGAGCCTTGGGCTTCATGAATCGGTGAGCTCCCTTGGCTCCAGCCACAAAAGCTGTCTGCGCCCACTGCCTCCAGCTCTGCATCACGGCCTTCTCATGCTTGGCCTCAGCATCGGAGGAGATACTCAGGATGCGGTCGACCTGCTGCTCGAAGTCTGCCTGCGCTAAGGCAAGTATGCCACGCGAGAAGAAGCCGACGGCCTCGGCGTCCAAGTGCGGCCAGACTCCCTTCCTCCGCCAGGTTCTCTGGAAGAAATTCTCGCACTCCAGCAGGTGGCGCGCCGCCTTGGAGTGCACGGCGTCCCACGATAGGTCCTCGCCTGCACGTCGCGGGGGCTGGTGTCGCTGAGCTCTCGACCGAGGCCGACCACCATCGGAGGAGAGACCAGCCACTCCGACGACCTCCGCAGCAGGGGGTGCCCCATCGCCCAGGCCAGGCACTGCGTCGACGTGCGCCTCGCCGACGCTGCCGAGCTCGAAGACCTGCTGCGGGCGAAGCTGGAGCACGAAGCTCTGCAAGGCCACTCGAACCCTCCTGAGGTGACGAGCCCAGCGCGCAGCCTGCGCCCAGGCCTGGGTGTCCGCCGACCTCCTGCTCCAGGCACCTTTCACGACAGGGTGAACACTCGCCAGCTCGAAGGTCGGGGGGCCTGGCACCGTGGAGTACCCCGCCACGTCCTTCACGACGTCGTAGCGGCCCCGCAGCTCGAACTCGATGCCGCTGAGCACGACGTCCCAGGCCCTGGTGATGCCCTCGCTGTCCGACGCGCTCTGGATGATCGCCAAGATCGGGTCCCAGTCGGGGGGGGACCTCGCGCACCCCGCAGCAGGCGGCCTCCGAAAGCCGCGTGGCTCGACAAGCCTCCTGACCTTCGAGTCAAAAGCCGTGGCGGAGAGCTCCATGGTCACTGGTAGATGCGGCCACGTCTCCGCGTCGACGACCACTGGTTGCCGAACGCGAGGCAGCAAACGGCAAGAAACCATGAACATGTCAATGGTGCGGCCAGGAAGGCTCTGAAGACACGTCGGCTCTCTCGGCGCCAGCACCACGCCATTGGCCGACTGGAGCCAGGACAACGGGCCGAGCTCACCTACCTCCATGTTGAAGTCGCCTCCTACGATCCACGGAACGCCCATGGCCTCCAGCGACCTGACATACTGGTACAGCTTGTACAGCATGGCCAGGTTCTCGGGCGACAGCTTGACGTCCACAATGAAATAGCACGACAGCATGACGAAGCCGCCCTTCACCCCAGCGTGGACATGGGCCGCCATCATCCTGCCTTCCAGCAGCACGTGACTGTCCAGGCCTGGGGGTTTGGTGATGACCACCCGCAGCGGGGCCAGCACCGCAACCCCGCCTCTGCTGCCAACTCCCTGCCCAGGTAGGGCGGGCTCCCATATACCATGGTACCCAGCAGCTCTTACTGTATTCTGCAACTTCGCCAAAGCATCGCCCTCGGCCTTGGCATGATGTTCCTGCACCGCGATGCATAAACTCGAGCACGTGGGCAGGAAGTCGACGAGCGGGCCGCCCGAGGACACGTTCACGGTGGTGATACTTGAACCCGACGCCATGGTGCGACAAAGGAGGACGAACCACACAAGACACGCAAAACATCGCCGTGGAGCCATGCTAGGCAGGGGTGAGCCTGGGCCTCTTGACCTTGGCACCCCAACGCATGAAGATCTCCTCCAGCCTGTGCTTCTCGCCCCCAGCCGCAACAACTTCCTCCATGAACTCAGGGTCGTCGGAGAAGGCAGATGGCTGTGGTGTGCGAGGCGCAGCCGCGTCGTCCTGCCGCTCGGCCTGCTCGACGTCGGGACCAGCCTCGGCCCCAGCATCCGCCTGCGCCTTCTGGGCAGCCAACTTTGCCGCCTCCTCCTCCTGCAACCTCTGCAGCTCCTGGAAGCTCGCCGTGAGGCTGCCCGACAGCTGGTGATCGGCGCCCAGGCTCTGGAGCAAGATCCCGAGGCCCTCGAGCGTGGCACCAACCCCCTTGATCGGCTCGTCGAGCGACGCCTTGTCGCCAGGCGTCGGAACCTGCCCTTGAAGCCTCTTGCGCTCCTGGTCCAGCTCCTCCATGCTAGCGTCGAGGGCCGCCAGCTTGTCCCGAGTGAGCCGTTCCTTCTCCTGCAGGTCGCGCAACTGCGCCTGCAGCCCATCGAGCTTGGTCTGCTGGTCGTCGCGCAGCTTCTGCAGCCTGGTGAACTGAGCTCCCATCTCGCGCAAGCGCTGTCCGAGCGGTCGGGACTCCGCCACCTTAGCACGCAGCTCGGCCTGCTCGGCCAGCAGCTTGTCGCGCGTGGCCACGACCGACGGCTCGGTGATGCCCATGAGCTTGCCGATGAGGTCGCCGACCTCGCGTAGCCTGTCCTTGGCGACGGACTCGGGGCCGTCTCCGTCCGCGGCCGGCTCCATCTGCACGTCCTCCCCGCCAGGCGGCGGCCTCTGCACAGCGGCAAGCCGCTTGCGGGCCTCGGCGAGCTCGGACTTGAGCTTGGCCACCTTGACGGAGTCGTCCCAGTAGCCGTTGCCGCTGCCGCCCTGATTGCCCTTCCTCCGCTGGGAGGGGGCCGAGGGCTGGCGCACGCAGTGGAAGACCAGTCCCTTGCCCAGCTTGCACTTCGCACACTGCCGCGCCCCTGCATGATTCCACCACGGTCTCCCCGAGGGCCCGCAGCAGCTCTTGCAGTACCAAGGAAGCGCCTGCTCCGAACGGTAATGCGGCGGTGGCATCTCCACGACACCAGGCAGCAGCACACACGGTGGGCCGTGGCAGCGCGATCTGGAAAGGACTGGGTGTGGGCGCCCAACTCCCACGGTGAAGGCGAGCGGTGGTCTGGCCGCGGACTAGCGGTATCCGTGCGGTCCCCAGGGGAACCAATCATCTTGAGCCAAAATGGCTACGGAAAAGGAAGAAGAGGAGGAGGAGGAGGAGGACGAGGAGAAGGACGAGCAGGAGGACGAGGAGGAGGAGGAGGAGGAGGAGGAATTGTCATCTCTTCGGGGTGCACCTTTCACACTACGCCCATAAATTTCTGGGATAGGGCGTCTCGCGGCGGGTCTCGCGAACAAAAATCTACCCGAAAGGGCGCGACCGCTGTCGGGGGCGAACACGGCGGACCATCCCTATCTTCATCTCCAACGTGCCACCCCTACGTGCTCCCACCTCAGTGTGAGCAGCACTGTAGGGACAGCCCCCCGAAGAGCGGGAGGGGCTACCCGAGCATTGAAAATTCGACCTGCATCTAGGAACGCTATCCCGCGTCCTCGCTTCTACCCGTCGATCCAAACCTGTGGGTCGTGCGGAGCTGGGCAGGGCGAGCGATACGAAAGAAGTGAAAAAAGAGGAGCCCTTAGGAGGTGGAGGAGGGAGGGCGCGGAGAGAGCCTGCCGTCACGACGCCGCCTGCCGTTACGACACCACCTGCCGTTACGACCCCGCCTGCCGCTACGACAACACCTGCCGTCACGCGGGCCTACTGCTCCTTGGTCTTCTTCTTCCCCTGGCCCTGGGGCTGCGCCTTGCGTGTCTTGAAAGCGATTATCTCGACCGCCTTCGCTGTCTTGCAGCGGGCGGCATGGTCGAAACCCAACTTGACCTGGTATGCCTGTTTAAGCGCCCGTTCAGGCGTAGCAACATCAGCGCTGCCTTGGGATCCACGTGGTGGTTCACGGCGAACACCCAGCGGACGCTCTGTTTGACCTCGTCGTTGTCGTCGTCGTCGTCATCCTCGCTCGTCAACTCGACGCTAAAGCAAGAAGCGAAAGGACGAATCCTGGACCAGCGCCCCGTTCTTCGAGAGAGTGCCGCTGCGCCCTGCTTCGCTGCGTCGGTGACGTTCTGACCGGCTAGCTGCGCTGCCTTGTGAAGGCGGAAGACGAGCTGTTTCATGTACACGTCGGGGTGCTTGCCCAGCGCGTTCCCAGCGCTTGCCCAGCGCTGCATCTGTCCTTCCTTCCGCAGCAGCGTGACCGTGAAGTTGTCGTCCCTCGCGTTCCCGCGATTCGTGTCCTCGCGTTGCACGAGCAACTTGGCCATGAGAAGCGCGAGACGGCGCATCTCCGCGCCCTCGCCCCGGCCGTCGGCGGCGGCCTCCTCGCCCCCGCTGACCCTGCCCTCCTCGGCCGGGCGCCTGGCCCGACGGGTCATCTCTGCGATCGGCGCGAGCACAGGGAAACGAAGAATGGCATCGACATAGAAACTCAAAGGTCCGCGCGGATGTCTTGGATCCGCGCGGACCTTCGAGTGTTTATGTTTATGTCATTCTTCGTTCCCCTAGAATCGGCGGTGGACAAGCCTCCCTTTCATAACCTCCCTTTAGAGAAAACGGCCTGGGACCGAAACCGACAGACCTGGACCCGCAAAAATGACGGCCGCGACGCCCTCTCGCGAGCCGAAAACGGCCAATTCCTTAATCGACGTGTCAGGGTAGGAGGCCTATCAGCCTCCGATCCTTCGCTCCCCTGGAACAGCGACCTCGCCGTCGCGCTGCGGAGGTGGAGGCAGCCCGGGGGCGGCAGCGGGTGGACCAGGAACGGGACCGGGAGGGGCCTCACGGAGCCCCAGCGGCTGGTACCACATCAGGGTGGAGTGCACGAGACCGCCCCCATCGAGCGTGCTTCACTAGACTGTCCTTCCGGGTGGCATGCTTTAGACACCGAGGGCACCTCCTGTCCAAAACCGTCTCCAGCGACGAGAACTCCGTGGGGTTAGCTGCGACACCGTGCACGCGAGAACGATGATCATCAAGACCTTTGGGACCTCTGCAGAGACGCCCGCAGTCAGGACATTTGAGTCACTCCTGCGAGCGGTTACTCTCAAGTGTAGCCGACCTGACGCCAAACTGGAGGAGGAGGAGAAGGAGGAGTAGGAGGAGGAGGAGGACGAGAAGGAAGAGGAGGAGGAAGAGGTGGGGGAGGAAAAGGATGATGATTATGCTGCTGCTGCTGACGACGACGGCGACGAGGACGAGGAGGATGATGAGGTGGAGGAGGAGGAGGAGGACGAGGAGGAGGAGGAATTGCCATCTCTTGGGAATGCACCTTTTTTTTCCGCCGGCTTCCGCCGGCGGAGCCGCCCCCGTTGTACTCCCGCCGGCTTCCGCCGGCCTTCTGCCGAGGAAGAGATGTGGGCTGTCTCGACTCTCGAGGGCCGCGCCCTCTCTGCAGCGCACCACCTATGGCCAGACCCCCGATGTCTTGAGTCTGCTCAACACGGGGCCATACGGGGCCCCTAGAGGTCTGGACCCACTCCCGGAGACCCCGATTCTCGTCCTGGATTGCTGCTCCGACGACCCGGGAGCCCGAAAACGGCCCCAGGGCGCCGAACATTGAGAAGAACGTCCCTCCTGACGTTTTCAAGGCGCGAGGAGGTTCTGCTTTTGGGTCAGAACTCGGGCCTCTAGCGGCTGGTCGGGACGATCTTGCCCCCCTGCCCCCCCCCCCCCCTCCCAGAACGTTCTCGGCGAGACGTAGCTGCTGGAGAGCACCCCGGGGCTGGAGGACCGCCCAGGAACCGACGAAAACGCCCGAAAACTGACACCCCCCGCGCGCGCCGCCAGCTATCGCAGAGCCGCGTTCATTCAGGGGCTCAGCCGCGAAAGCACTCTGGAAGCTGGAGGAACCTCGAGCCTGGAACCTCAGCCCCACGATGAAAGCGAAGCGCTACAGTGACGGTGTTGGAGAAGGAACCATTGGACAAGGAATCCAGGGTCTGGAAGCATGTGGAACTACAATCGTGCTGCCCTCACCAGATAAGGAACCCTCCAGGGTCTGAAGCTTCCCTGGGCACATTCCGGAACAAACGCCCCCACCGTATCTGGAGCGCCCCAGGCCTGCTCGTACCCGTTGACCGCGTCGCCGACGAAACCCGCCCCAGAGCGGACCTGTTCGCCCTTGGGGGTACGGCCGGAGAAGAACCAGTGCTTGTTGTCCTTGGCGGCGCCCGCAATATGTAGAGACCTCCTAAATAGGCTCCGAGTAGATGGGGATCGGAAGATCGCGCCGCATCTTCGAATCATCGGCGAAGTAGCTGCCCCGATGCGCAACACGCAACCCGTAGCGTGTTGACACGGAGCTCAACACGTAGATTAGACACGTGGGTCTCGCGCGACACGTTTGCCAAAACGTGGACAAACACGGACCGAGCCAACACGCAGCGTATTGACACGGACGTTTCGAACATGGCACATGTTGCGTTTCAGAACGCGCGTATCAGGGCAGCTAAGACCACGAGTAGATGGGGTCGGAGGATCGCGCCGCACCACCGACACATCGGGGGGGGCCCGGTCTTCTGAGAATAGGTGGCCACATGTGAGCCCTGCCGCCCCCCCCCCACGATGTCTAGGGGGGGTGGGGACTCACTCCGCTCGGGAGCTCCCGAGCGAAGTGACCCCCCCCCTTAGAGATCGTGGGGAGCGGCGGCGGGGCTCACGCGTGGCCACCGAGAGAGAGAGAGGGGGGCTCTTTGGACGGCAGGGGCCTTCTCGGAAGGGCCTGGAGGCCTCCAGGAGTGCGTCTTGGAAGCCCGGGGGGGCTTCTGAGAGACCACCCCCGCCTTCTTCAGAAAGAGAAAAGCGGCATGCAGTAGGGGCCCGACCACAAGAAACCGTCCACGAGAAAGCCAGCCCTGAGACCACAGGACGTCCATCGATTTCAGGTGTGGTAATGTCACGCTTTCCATTGCAAAGCAATCGGAACCCGAGAACCCCAGGGCACCCTGGAGGCAAGCAGGGTGTTTCTTGGCAGGGGGCCCCACTGCAGCCAGAAGCTCTCAGAGCTCCGCGCGGATGTCCTGGACCTGCGCTGGACCCCCCCCCCCTCCCTGGGCACGGCGCGCCAAGGGCGGCGTCAGAGGCGATGCCACGGGGGGCCCAGCGCCGATGGGGGAGATCCGCGAGGAGCTGAGGCAGGTCATGCTCGCGCAGCTTGGTCGACATCACGCACAGAGTGGTCCTGGGCAGGAGTGACCTCTGGTGCGCGGCTTTCCGGGGGCCGCGGGGAGACCAAACACAGGCGCGCCAGACGCCGCTGCCGCATCGCGCCCGGCGATCGGGGGATCCCAGTGGGCCCGCACCAAAGGTTACTCCGGCGAAGGGTCACTCTTACGTCTTAGTAGACTTGATCCCTTCAATTTTTGTTTTGACCCTTCAACTCTTAGGAGCGCTCCCCCTCGCTCTCTTGGAGTCAGGAGAGCCCAGAATCGAATCGACAAGTCGGATCAGCGATCGAAATGACTCGGATCGGCGGAAATCGGCAAACGAGTCGGGAAAAAGTCGAATCGGCAGGCTAGTGCGTCCAATAAGAAATCTGAACCCGAATCGGAATCCCAAGTCGAATCGAATCGGAATCGGAAGCTGTATCGAAATCGAATCGAATCGAACCAGAGGAGTCGAAACGAGTCCCGTCGGAGTGCCGCCCCCCGTCGCGGCGCCGCCCTCCCCCCCCCCCCGCGGGCGCCGCCGCAGTCCAGCGACGAGTCCCCGGCGAGGAAGACGGGGGGGGCGCGGCCGAGGGAGGACCGCCCCCCCCTCCGGCGAGGTCCGGGGCACGCTGCGGCCCCCCCGCGCTTCGGGGGCCTCCTCCGAGACCCCCGAGGGTGTCCTGGCGCCGCAGCGTCTCCGCCACGGGCGTGCGATGGCGGGCCCCGGGGCCCTCAGGCCCAGAGATCCGACGCTCCAAGAGGAACTGGAGCGGCGGGATTTGAGCCATTTTCGGCCTCCGGGGGTCCTCGTCGGGCCTCGAGAGCGTCAACAAGACGTCTCGGAACGAAAAACTGGCCCTAGAGGGAAGTGGTTGGGGCCTCGGGCCCACGCCTCAAAAGAAGTGGAGCAGCAGCCGGATGTCTGGGCAGAGAGGTGGGGTCCGGGGATCCGGGCGTGATGTTTTACAATGTTGCATTAAGTCGGGCATGCCTCTCTACAGGGGGACTGTGGACGAAAAACAAAAAAGTACCCTCCAAAAATGCACCAAAATGGTCAACCAAAATCGCCCCCAGAAAAAAAAACTACTATTTTAGGACATTCCGCCTGTAGAGGGACAGGCCCGACGTAAATGTGGCATTTTTGGCCGCGTCGGATCTCATGGGGAGGGGGGCGTCCCCAAGAGGGGGCTGGCGCGCACGAGGCGTGACCCCGAGACACGTGCGCGGTCCCGGGGGGGGGACCAAGAGGCGCGTTTTGAACGCAGGCGAGGGGCTGCGTGCATCTTCGGGGGGCCTTAGAGGAGGAGCTAAAAGGAGGAGGAGGAGGAGGAGGAGGAAGAGGAGGAGGAGGAGGAGGAGGAGGAGGAGACGGAGGAGGAGGAGGAGGAGGAGGAGGAGGAGGAGGAGGAGGAGGAGGAGGAGACGGAGGAGACGGAGGAGACGGAGAAGGAGTAGGAGGACGAGGAGGAGGACGAGGAGGAGGACGAGGACCTGTCGCGCCGAGATCCACGTCGACTCAGTGTCGAGCGCGTCGAATCCTTGTCGAGTCCGTATCGAGACCATGCCGAATCCGTGCCGAATCCACGTCGAGCCCGCGTCGAGGCCACGTCGGAGCACAAGATGAGACTGCCGTTTGCAGGGCAGGAGAGGTCCCCCGAAGCGATATGTACGAAGCAGGAGGGGGCCATAAAACCTGGGGAGATATCATGGCCCCAGCCACGATCCCCCCCCCCCCTGGTCGTCACCGCCAGCCTTCCTGGCCGCCCCCTGGCCACACCGGGCGCCTTCGCCCGTTGTCGGGCCTGCAAGATCCTGCACCCAAGCCTGGGTCAATGCGACCCTGGCCCGCTCTGGCTGACCCCCGTTTGCATCGACCCCCGCCTCTCCAGGCTCCCGAGAGATGGGGTCCAGCAGGGCTCCGGCCGCGATACTTCGCGACGCTGCACCTTTTCCGCAGCGTCGGCTCTCAGGGCCCTCCCCCTCCCAGAAGCCTCGAGGCGGGTGGCCCTCGAGGACTAAATTATAGCCAGGGCCGCGTCCCCCAAGCAGCGCTTCCAGAGCCTGCGTGGCTCCAGAGACTGCTCGCGCGTCGAGCTATTGTCGTCCTCCTGCTCCTCATCGGCATGTGCCCTCGTCGTCCTCTTCGTCGTCCTCCTCTTCATCCTCGTCATCCTCCTCCTCGCCCTTCCCCTCCA